GAAGAAAACAAAACACTAGCTCAAAAAGATATATGCACCCCCGTGTTCTTTGCAGCATTATTTGTAATAGCCAAGATATGGAAATAACCTAAGGGTCCACTGATGGATAAAGAAGTTGTGGTATATGTACAATGGAATATTTTTCAGCCATAAAAAATGGAATTTTGCTATTTGCAACAATATGGATGAACCTCAAGGGCATTATGCTAAGTGAAATAAGTCAGATAGAGAAAGACAAATACCATTTGATATCTCTTACATATGGAATATAAAAACAGAAGCAGGGACTTCCGTGGCGTTCCAGTGGTTAAGACTCTGTGCTTCCACTGCAAGGGGCATGAGTTCAATCCCTGGTCGGGGAACTAAGATCCCTGCATGCTGTGTGGCACGGCCAAAAAATAAATAAAATAAAAACAAACAAACAAAGAAACCACACTAAACACATAGATCCAGATCAGTGGTTGCCAGAGGCTTGGGAGAAATGAATGAACTGTTTGGGTTTTTTTTGTTTTTGTTTTTTGCGGTATGCGGGCCTCTCACTGCTGTGGCCTCTCCCGTTGCGGAGCACAGGCTCCGGACGTGCAGGCTCAGCGGCCATGGCTCACGGGCCCAGCCGCTCCGCGGCATGTGGGACCTTCCCGGACCGGGGCACGAACCCGTGTCCCCTGCATCGGCAGGCTGACTCTCAACCACTGCGCCACCAGGGAAGCCCTGTTTGTTTCTTTAGTGTAGCTTATTTAATTGAATTTAAAAATTTAAAATTTTAAAAAGCTAGGCTTTGTGGGAGGAGAGAATTGATGGAAGATTTTTTTTCACCCAGAATGAGATAGATAGATAGATAGATAGTTAGGTAGATAGATAGAAGATAATATAATTAAGGAGTTCATCAGAGGGTTCCTCAGATCATAACATATCACTGTCCACAACCTTGTTTTCTAACTCTGTGCCTGTGTGTTATTTTGAAATATTAGATGAAACATCTATGATGAAAATAAAATCAAGAGCAAGACTAGATGGTAAAATTTTTTTTAAGTAGCTAGCAATGGTAATAATAACCATATAGTAGTAGTCTGCTTTTTCTTTTTTTAATTGGTTCTATAGGCCAGGCACTGTGTTGAGTACTTTTCAAGCATATTTTAACTCAGCAGGTGTTTAACCTCCCTGACCTTCTACACACAACATGGTAAACACCTGCTGAGTTACATAACACCTAGACATGCCTCATTCCAAGGCCTAATTCTTACCCATACACCAATTATTTTTGCATCTTACAAATCACTAAGCCTTAAGATTTCTTGAAGAAATGCCTGAGAAATACTGAATTAGGAGTTACTGACGATAGTTGGTAACAATATAATCGTAAATGTAAATACAAATATACCTGAATCTACATGCCAGTCCTTGGTTAAAAGGTTATCAAATGATTCATAGCATACTTTTTAAACCATATTACATATGGTTTATATAATCAAAAATTTAAAAATTAAAGATACTTATAGAGAACTTGCAGTTTGAGAAATATTTCCCTGTTGTATAGTGCGTGGATTCCTAACTTAAGCTGTAATACTTTCTGCTACTGTTTCACAGAAACTCTTAACTTGCTCCTTGTTAGTGTCATTGGCCCTTGAGCCTTATTTTCTTTCTAATCTTGTGGGTCATTTAAAGCATCATAGTTAGTTCCACTGAAACACCAAAAAGTGAAGATTCTCAAGGGCCGGCTACAGGGAAGATATAATGGGTCCTACTCTTGAATGACCAAGGGTGACAAGAGAAGTAACGCCAGCCAGCCAGGATTTCACTAGAAAAAAACGTGCCAGTTTTTGGATGTAAGATGGAGAGGAACTCTGACAGACGAGTCCCAGTCCAGGGAAGGCTGGCCTGCAGGGACCCACCAAAGGCTCTCCTTGCAGGCAATCTCTAAAGAAGATGTGAAATAGGATAAGGCAGGATCTCGTGAATATTCTTCAGCTTTGCCATCTTGAGGCAATGTCTCCATTTCTCATTGTTAGCTGCCATTCATTTCCTGGGCTTCTGAACCTCAAGTCTTTGATTGTTCAGCTTCCTCCTGGTTAGACTGATCTGTAGTAGTACATTACATAGGATATACGTAAGTGCTAAAATCTTGTCTCCAGACAAAGTGACAGAGGCACGAGCTCTGCTTCACAGAGGCTGCCTACCCCAGGACCAAACTGCGCACCATAGTCAGGCATTGTAGGAGAGCACGTGCACTCAGCTGATTCTGATCCTAAGCATCTGGGAGCAAAACATGTGGTTACTTTACGCTAGAGGCAGAGGAAGAAGTTGTATCTTCCTCTTACAGCAAACTCCAGAGTGTTCACTTTGGAGACTAACAGTCTTATAACCAAACACAAACGGCAAGGAAACAGTTTAGGGATCTCCCAGGGAGATCTAGTTTGTTTTAAAATGTATTACTGAAGAGTCATGAAATGTTAGACTTGCAAAGAACTTAAAGATCCCATCTCATCTGAAGGTCACAGACTGACAGCCTAGGGCCAAATCTGGCCCACAAAGGGAATGTGTTTTATCTGGCTCATAATTAGAATTAGTTGTCAACATTTAAAATAAGGAGAGTTCACATTATTTTCTTTAAAAATCTAGATTTGAAAAATCGGAAGATCTGGCAACCCTGACTAGCCAGCATTGCTCCACGGCTGTGACTAGAGCTCGCGGCCATTATGCCCTTGGGACACTGTACATACTCCCCAGCTTCCGGCAGCCTTGCTTCAATTCATCTACACATCCTGCCTGGACTCTGCTGGTAGTTTTGCATTTGCAGCCCTTGTTAGACCAACCTGTTCATTTTTTTACAGCTGAGGAAGTGAGGCCAGAGAAGCCAAGTGACTCATCCATCCACACCACTTTTTCTAATATAACACATATGTTGGTGATGTTTCCGTGCACTCCTTTCTCCATCCCCGTGGTTTTTCCCAAAGAGATTTGGCAAGAAAGCACACAGTCTGAGGAAGGGACAAAGATGATGTCAGCCAGAGGATAAGTTAGAAACTCACTAACTGAAACTCAAGAGACGTCAAAAGGGAATGGTGGGAGGGAGTGAAGGAACAGAGACATTCTATGTGGAATAAAAACAAACGAGAGAAGTATACCTGAAGAGGTAAGGTAACGTGGGGAGAAAGACCAAGGGAGGCAACGAATTGATCTGCTCCTCTAGAGACGTTCACTTTCCCGGAAAGCAGCAGCTGACAGAATAGAGGAGGCTGCCCAAAGCAGAGACTCCAAAATCCAAATGATCAGAAAAAAGAATTCGAATTTATAAGAGATTTCTTCTTCGGATTTATCTATTTGAAAAAAAAAAATGTGTGAAGATAAACAGAGGTGGCTTCTTAGGGTTTCCTGAGAAATTATTAACAGGAGATCAAAACAATTATCTGAAAGAATAAAGCTTTGCAAGAAAAAAAAAAGAAGTTGATGTTTAAGGGTTCAGCAAAAGTTTTTCTTGAAAGAAAAATGAACCAAGATTTAAAAAGAAACAATAGAATACGTGTGTAATTAGCATGCGAATTTGGTGCTGGTCCCGGCTCTGCCACTAATGGGCTGGGTCACTTTGGGCCAAACCCTGCAGTTGTCTAAGGCTCAACTTCCCCTGCTGTGAAGTGAGGGCCTTGGGCTGATTCTCAAAGTGCTCTCCCTAGATCAGCAGCAGCAGCAGCAGGGGGGGACTTGTTAGAAATACAGATTCTTAGGGCTCATCCCAGACTTACTGAGGCTCTGCCGTCTGTGTTGTAACAAGCCCTCTGGCTGAGAAACCTGTAAAGTTTGAGAACCACTGAGAAAGCCACCAGCCAGATGATCTCTGCGTTCCTTATAGCTATAAACTAATTCTAAGCAAAAGAGGAAAAAGAGCTGGGTTACCCTAGTAGCTGGCATGAAAGGTCTTTTAAAAAGATATTCAATAGGACAGGACATGATTATTTGTTTCGAATGATGCAAGTATTTGGTTAACCATTCAGTTTTATGAGATGTGAGAACATCATGCACAGGCAAGGAGCTTTCCAACAATGAAATGAAGTGAGTTGAAGCAAAGTTAGAGACCGCAGGTGGCAAGACGAGGACAGACACACATGCGTCAGCAGTGTTCTCCCTATGAGGGTACACACATATGCACACACAGGCTTAGTGTTCAGACAAGGGAAGCAGGGTTCCTCCCTTTCAGTGTTGAAGTTCTACATTAAAAAAAAAAAATTAATGAACTACCTTATAATGCGCTCCTTTATATTAATGGTGCTTGTGTTTACAAAAATAAAATCTTCAAGGCTCATTGGAAGTTTTAGAGGTGTCATAGGGCTCAAAGGTTTTGAGTTATAAAACAAAAAGCAAAGCAAAACAAAACACACAAGCAAAGAAGCAAAATAAACAAGGAAAACCAACCCCATAATCAACTTCTCTTTGTCCAGCATCGTTGAAGATGAACAAGCCTGCAGAGCTGAGAGAGTTCAGCTCGCTCTCCATAGCATCCTCTTTAGGTCTTCCCTCTTTGCCTCCAGGGATCTGCTCTTTAATTTCTTTTCCTTGTCAGTCAGTTATGTTGGTTCATTCACTGACTCTTTACACTGAAGTATGAATAAACTTCATGATGTGCTATGTCAACCAGGCATTTTCATTGTGTTTTTCATAATGAATTCTAGAATAAAAGGTTCTGTCATCTCTGAAAGAAGCTACAGGTGTCACCTAATAGGTAGGGAAATTTTTGGATGGAGCAGAAAAGCCTCCAAGGTCAGTAAGGAGATCTCTGAAAGTTGATCTGATTTAGTGATCAACTTAGTGTAATTGGGAGCAGTGTTAGCAGGGAAGGTGGAGTAGCAGGGGAGGTGGAGTAGCAGGGGAAGTGGGGTATCAGAGGAGGTGGAGTAGCAGGGGAGGTGGAGTAGCAGGGGAGGTGGAGCGGGGGAACAGTCCAGGAGCCTGTGGTAAAACGAATAGAGACTATACTGGCCTCTTTGCTAAAGAATGTTCTCCCACAGGAAGGAAAATCTGCAGGTTGGCTAGGCAAGACCATCTGTATCAGTAATTACAAAATCTGTATGGAGTCACTTCCAGGACTGAAGACTTCCTTCCCCACAGGTGAGACCTTTTCCATCCTACCTGCTTCTCTGCCCCATCTTTTTGTGCATGAGTAGAGATTAGCTCCTCTCCCATCCCCCTAATGATAATCCATTTTCTGTCCCAGGAGCCAGGGCCACTGTGTTGATTGTGTAGGTTGTACCCTACACAGAAGGGCTCACTTGTGTGGCACCATGCAGAGGGAGTGGATGGAGGCTGAGGTCTAGTCCATGCTTCCCTCACCAAACCCTGTGTTACAGGAGGCGGTGCCTTTTTGTAACTCACACAAAGGTACCCTATGAGCTAGCCACAACCATGCCAGTAACCCCTGCATCACCATCACCACCATCCCTCTCTAGAACTCTTTTCATCTTATAAAATTGAAACTCTTTGCCTGTTTAACAGTAAGTCCCCATCCCCCCTCCCCCAGCCTCTGGCAACCACCATTCTACTTTCTGTCTCTCTGATTTTTACTCCTCTAAGTACCTCACATAAGCGGAATCTTTTTGTGATGGGCTTATTTCACTGAGCATAATGTCCTCAAGGTTCATCCATGTTGTAGACTGTGTCATAATTTCTTCCTCCTTTAAGGCTGAATAATATTCCACTGTATGTATAGACCACATTTTGTTTGTTTGTTTTTGCCCATGCTGCACGGCATGTAGGATCTTAGTTCCCCCACCAGGAGTGGAACCCATGCCCTCTGCAGTAGAAGCGAGGAGTCTTACCCACTGGACCACCAGGGAAGTCCCTAAACCACATTTTTTTGGGGGGGCTGTGTTGGGTCTTTGGTGCGCGGGCTTCCTCTAGTTGCAGTGAGCGGGGGCTACTCTTCATTGTGGTGTGTGGGTTTCTCATTGCAGTAGCTACTTCTGTTGCGGAGTCTAGGTGCATAGGCTTCAGTAGTTGCAGCACACAGGCTCAGTAGTTGTGGCTCACGGGCTCTAGAGCGCAGGTTCAGTAGCTGTGGCGCATGGGCTTAGTTGCTCCACGGCATGCAGGATCTTCCCATACCAGGGATTGAACCCGTGTCCCCTGCATTGGCAGGTGGATTCTTAACCACTGTGCCACCAGGGAAGCCCCCCTTCCATGAAACTTTAAGTATACTGTACTATATCTGTTTTTGCTAACAGAATTTTAAACCTTTTTTTAAAAAATTTAAACTTGCTAATTGTTTTTTGCTTCCCTCTAGTTGTGGCATGCTAGCTCCAGAGTGTGCAAGCTCAGTAGCTACCACACACAGGCTCTCTAGTTGTGGCGCGTGGGCTCTAGAGCGTGCAGGCTTAGTTGCCCTGTGGCATGTGGGATCTTAGTTCCCTGACCAGGGATCGAACCCATGTCCCCTGCATTGGAAGGCGGATTCTTAACCACTGGACCACCAGGGAGGTCCCATAAATTTGCTAAGTGTTTCTGACAACACAGCAGTAATGTATCACAAGAGAAAAGAGTCATCCTTGGGACTTCCCTGGCGGTCCAGTGGTTAAGACTCTGCATTCCCATTGCAGGGGGTGTGGGTTCGACCCCTGGTTGAGGAACTGAGATCCCACATGCCGCGTGGCACGGCCAAAAAGCAAACAAACAAACAAAAATATGAAATGCATTGTTGCCAAAGAGCCTTGGAAAACAGTAATTGTACCTAAAATGGCCAGAATTTATCCTTAGAACTATTTAGAATGCCACTAACAAAACAATAAGTTAATTACTTTGTAACCTATTTAAAGAAATATGAATCAAGAATCTCTTATTTGTAATTCCAGAAAACCATGAAAAACAAATTTTTTCATAACTAATTTGGTGGAAGAATCTGATGTGAACTGCTGGAGGCTACTTGATTATCTGGATTTATCCTATTTATTCTGAATATTCACATGTTTGGCAGCTGAATCCTTTAAATGTTTAATTCAGAGGTATACTACATTACCTTTCTAAATCCAAAAGGTCTGAATTCAGAAACACATCTGGCCAAAGAATTTTGGCTTAGGGGCTATGAGCCTGTCATATGTGACAGGAGATTGGTGGTGAGCGTCTGTGTATTTGCAAGAAGGATGTGATTCCACTTGCAGGAGTGTGGTGTCCCAGACATTCTAAAAACAATTATATCCTGAATAAAACCTACTTTTAATGCCAAGTTGGGCTACCAAGCAGTAATGGAAATCTCCAGCACTGCCCCCCCCCATATACACACACAAATACAAAATAAATAGAAAGAGACCAAATACATTCCAAACCAAGGGAAAAAAAAATTGAAAAAGGAAAAAATAAACACAATCATTGCAAAGATTTTACAGTGACATATTAGCCACAATAGGCTACTTTATGCTATGATGATAAATCAACTTCACTATCTCACTGACAAAACACAAATGAAACTGACTTCTCTCTCCTACTTCCCAGCAACGCAGGTTGGTAGGAGACCCTGCTCTGCAGCTACTGAAGGGCTTGATGGATGAAGGCTCTGCCATCTGGCATGTTGTAAGTTGTTGCAACAGCATAAAAGAACACATGGAAAACTCTGACTGTTTCCAACTTTGACAAAGGGTGATACGTCACTTTCATTCCTATTGCTCAGGATTACTCTCACGTTGCCTCCCCTAAACTTATAGGGCACATAGGGCAGTGTTCATATAGGGCAGTGCAAGGAATGTTTGCCAATCATAACCATAAAAGGAGAAAAAAGAAACAGAGAAATAAATGGGACAAATAGGAATGTAAAATAACATGGTATAAACAAGTCCAGAGAAATCTATAAATTACAATACACAAACGGAGTATCCTCACAAGTAAAAAAGCAGGTCATGTCAGAAGGGATTTCTTAAATCTACTTATATGATGTTCAGAAGAGAGCCATCAAAAATGTTAGAACAAATAAAGCTTAAAAATAAAAAGGCAAAAAAGAATAAAGAGGCAAATATCAAACAAAAGAAAGCTGATACGGCTATATTTGTATTAGAAATAATAGACGTTAAGATTAAAAAAATAAATATAAAGGAGGACACTCATAATAGTTTTTTAAAAGCCCAATTCACCAGGAAGACATAAAAATTCTAAACTTATGTGCACCTAATAAAATAGCATCAAATTACATACAGTAAAAATTGATAAGTTGAAGAGAGAATATAGCCCACAAAGCTTAAAGTATTTACTATCTGGCTTTTTATAGAAAAAGTTGGTGCCACTGTACATGGACATAAAGCATCTCAACAAATTTCAAAGTATCAGTATCAAGCGACAACCATTTTTGAACTGAAATGCAATGAAGTTGTCAATAAAAGTAAATTAAGACAAGTTTAAAAATTCCATGCTTTCGGAAATTTGAAAGGAAACCACACTTTTAAATAATGCATGTGTGAAAGGAGAAATAATAATGGGAATCTTAGAATACTATGTAATAAATGATAATGAAACTGTTATATATTAGAACTTGATAGATGATCAAGGATGAACAATTAGGACCTCACTAAAGGCACTAATTGCAGTGCATTAAAACAGACCAAATATGTGTAAATCTATGAGTTTAAACGCTTGGGGAAAAAGCCAGTAGGTCACCTTGGGAAGATGATAGAGAACCATTCGTTATTTTGAGAACAGGTAAATAAAGAGAAAAAAAATTAAAGCAAGCATTTATCACGTCTCTCCTACGTGGACTATACCCGTAAGCAGTCAATAATCAGCTGGAGACACTGGCACAGGTGGACTCGTTGAAGCTTGCAGGGAAACCCAAGAGGCCAATCATAGCCAGATGCCCAACTGAGCCTCTAAAAGGGAGCTTGTGGAGAAATCTGTGGGAAGCTGTTGCCTCTGTGGGCAAATCACGGAATTTAAGAGCAAGGACCAGCTGGAATCCAGTGGTGACCTCTGTATCCAACCATCACCATATCCGACGGCAGCAAACCTTTGAAAGCAGCGGCCACTTCTTCAGTTCTGCCTTCCAGATTTCACGCAGGCTTTCTTAGAGCCGACTGTAACTCAGAACCATAAGGAAAAGGGGATTCTGGAAAAGAGCAGCACGGTTTAGAGTCGTCCGCCGTTTCCCAACTTGGCAGCTATACATCTTCTTTCAACCACTTCTAAATACAGATAATAGCAAAATCGTGTTTCCACTTAAGATGTAACTACCCCTCATACAACTGAAAAGGCACTGATCGTCTACCCAAAACAATCCACACATGAGATCTGTTTTTCAGTGACGTCCATTTGTCCTACAGCTGGACCTCACTCATCTTTTAATATCCTGTAACTTAAAACATTAATGTTTTATGTTAGATGGTAGAGAAATGGGAGAGGGAAAAAAGAAAAAATGGCGTGTGTGTGTGTGTGTGTTGCAGACAGAGGCAACAGCTGCCCACCTCACCTCACACACACATTCCTACCAAGGAGAAAATACACTCAAAACTACTACCACCCTCATTTCTGCAATTGGTCAGCTGATCATGGTTGGTGTTTATTAACCTCCTTTTCCCATTATCCAGTTAGCATTCTCTGCTCTCAGGAAGCACCTCAGCTTTCCTGGTGGGTTACCTAAACCTTCACTCCCAAAGGATCTGTAGCATTTGCAGTCCTGCTATTATATTGGGGTGTTGTAGTTTTCTGTCAACTTGTTTTCATAGTACATAGGAATATGAAGAGGTGTCCCCAGAGGATCTGTTGAATTCCAGAGTTACTCCACCCTGCTCCCATTGTGTAGTAGCAACCCAATTTCCCCTTGAGGATTTGGGATCAGTCACACTAGCTAATATATTAAGCTGCCTGTTTTTTTGGCTGGTTGGTTCAGTGGCACGAGAAGCTCAAAATGTCCAGGTTGCAGTTTCAGCTTCCACTTTGGTAGAAACACTGCTGTGTCCCCAGTGAAAACACTCTTCCTTTGGGAATTAAGATCTCTAAACCAACAGAGCACACAGTTCAGAGGACAGGAAGTATCATTTTTACTAGTGGACCATTGGAGTTCAGAACAAGAGGGGCCAATCCCATTTCCACCTCCTGATCCTTGGAAATGAGAGAAGAAGCACCATATGGTGGTTGCCTGCTCAGTGCATTTATTGCATCCTGGAAGAAGTTACTCCAGCCTTGCAAAGTGTTGCCACCCATCTGGTACCACAATTGAGTCTTCAAAGGGCTATCCCACTACCCTATCAAGCCAACTGCTTCAGAATGATGGGGAACATGATAAGCCCAGTGAATTCCATAAGCACGAGCCCATTGCTGTCTTTTACTTGGTATAAAATCAATTTCCTGTTCACAAGTGACACTGTATGGAATACTCTGAGGAACAGGGCATTTTGTAAGTCCACAAACGGTGGTTTTTCCAGAAGCATTGCAGACAAAAAGGTAAATCCATAACCAGTTCTGACTGCTGGAGGGATTTTTCGTAACCACCGTCTTTTAGAGCCACGCCTAAGTGGGGCAGTATTGCCGCAGTTGTCCACTTTCAGATGGTGCCAGCGTGGTGCCTGAGAAACCATCTGCAATCAAGCCTGAATTTTTTCGTCCTTAGCATAACTTTTTCGACATAGAGAACTTCCCATGAGGCCGTACGTGTGGGTTGACAGAGAGGAGGCGATTTAACAGGAGTAAGAGCCGTAGGGATCTGAGCCAGTGACTCAGGTAACTTCCTCATGCCTTTAGGACCTGCTTGTGCCCAAACTCGTGTATATTACTTCCACTCAAGTTGGAGCGCTGCTGTGTGTGCCCAGCATGGTGGCTTCCCGGGTCAAACAACAACGCATTCAAAATGGGCAGATCAGGTTCCATGACAACGTGGCAGTCCAAAGTCAGGCATTCAGTCTCTTCTAGGGTTCAGTAGCAAACCAGAAGCTGTTTCTTAAAAGGAGAATGTTTATCTTTAGAAGATGGCATAGCTTTGCTCCAGAGTCCGAAAGGTCTGCAGTGTAATTCACATAATCCTGCCAAGGGCCCCTACAACATCCCTATCTGTAATGGGCATTTCAAATCTCAGTGGGTCTTCTGGATCAAAGGGCTCAACGGGCAGAGGAGCGGTCACACAGCTTGGGCCTGTTGTAGAGTCTTCTCCTACGTGAGGTCCCATTGAAAACTGGAGGCGCGGTAGAAGTCGTGCTGCTTTCTCTGGAGTGGGAAGGCCTAGATCCAGCAACTTGTTCACCTTACTAGAGATATCTTGACCATGCCCCAGATCAGAGGAGGCAGTAACTAAGGTCGAAAGCCCCTAAGCTTTTGTGAAATTTATTCTCACCCTCTGGATAGCCGCTACTTCCTGCTCATCAGGTCCAGTCAACATGCTATCATTACTGTAATGGACCAAAACAATATTTTGTGGAATGGAGAGGCAATCAAGGTCTTTTCAGACTAGATGATGATAGAAGGCTGTAGAGCTGATATAGGCTTGAGATAGGGCAGTGAAGGGTATTGCCAGCCCTACCAGTTGAAAGCTAACTGCTTTTTGTAGTCTTTACTATGGGAATTAAGAGAAAAAGTCTTCACCAGATCAAGCGCTGCATACTAGGTACCAAGGATTGTATTGATGTGCTCCAATAAGGAAATCTCATTTGGAGTAGCAGATGCATTTGGAGTTATGACCTAATTAAGTTCACCATAACCCACCATCATTCTTCAAGCTCTATCTCTTTTTCTTTTTTCTTAATTATTTTTGGCTCCGTTGGGTCTCCATTGCTGCGCGCAGGCTTTACCTAGTTGTGGCGAGCGAGGGCTACTCTTCGTTGCGGTGCGCGGGCTTCTCATTGCGGTGATGTCTCTTGTTGCGAAGCACAGGCTCTAGGCACGCAAGCTTCAGTAGTTGTGGCACACGGGTTTAATAGCTGTGGCTCGTGGGCTCTAGAGTGCAGGCTCAGTAGTTGTGGCATGCAGGCTTAGTTGCTCCGCGGCACGTGGGATCTTCCTGGTCCAGGGCTTGAACCCGTGTCCCCTGCATTGGCAGGCGGATTCTTAACCACTGTGCCACCAGGGAAATCCAAGACCTATCTCTCATTCACAGGCCAATAGGTGAAATGAATGGGAATGTAGTAGAAATCACCACTTCTCCATCCTTTAAGAACTTTATGGTGGCACTAATCTCTGTAATTCCTCCAGGAATGCTATATCATTTGATTTACTATTTTAGCAAGTAAAAGTCATTCTAGGAACTTCTTTCTGGCCTTCTATCGTAAACCTCTCACTTCATAATTTGGGGAACACTGCGGGGATTCTGCCATTTGATGAATATGTAAATTCCAACTCTGCATTTCAGAACTGGGAAAATAATCATGGGGTGGGTTTGGGTATCCACAAAGCCCACTGTGAATTGGGCTCAAGTCAAAACTCCACCTATTGGGTTTCTAGGAATCAGTGTTAATTCAGAGCCAGTGTGCAGTAACTGCCCCCAGTTCTCGTTGTTCCCCCTTCCCTGATGCAAAACCATACTGGTAAGTGGCCACATGTGCCTTTGGGGAAGGGTGGGTAGAAGATTTACAGCATACATTTTTGGCAGTGTAGCAGGTTTCTTCCTCAGGGAGACCTGCCTCTCCTTAATTTAAGGGGCTCTGCATCTATATGTGGACTGAATCAAGTCTGGGATTCAGTTGAGGATCCAGCACTGTCTGTTATTGGGACTCAAGTCAGAATTTTTGACCCTAGACCTAGAGCTTTTCTGTGTATACAGGTCAAGTAAGACTTTAATAGGATGTCTATTAATTTCAGTCCTAGGGAGATCCCAATAAATTAGCCAATACCAAAGATCAAACCATGGTGATTAATTATCACTTTAGCTTGGCTATCCATTATGATAACCATGTTTTCTTATCTCTGGTAGTTAAAATAGTTAAGCAATGTCACTTGACACCTGTCACTCCAGTATCCCACCATCCCCAATGAATTCAGGGAGCCCAGTCTAATGGCAGCATTCATGGCTTAGAGAATGGCTACTACAGAACTCTGCAAGGGTGCTGGTGCTTGCTTCAACAATGCACCACCTAAAGCCTTGTTGAAGGGAGTGTCTTCTGAACCCTCCCAGGTCATAATTAGGGGAGAGTGGTAGTTCTTACATAATAAATCCACTCCAGCATTCCAACTCCTTATCTTTTGGATACCTTCCATTTATACAGTGTGAGGTGGATTTATGAAAGAGGTGATTTTCAGGTACTACTTGACAGAAAACAAATAGTTTCATAGTTTGTGTGTGTGGGTGGAGTTTTGAGTAATGTGGGACAAG